TAAATTCATATAAATTCATATAAATTCATATAAATTCATATAAATTCATATAAATTCATATAAATTCATATAAATTCATATAAATTCGTAAAGATCATCTCATAAAACAAACCCAACAAACGCGATTGGTCTTTGAATGCAGATTATAGTGTAATTTTTATAACCACTATCCTTGAGCCACTCTCATGCATTTCCTATTGGCCACACTGTGATAATAATGTATATCACCTGAATAACTTTGCGACCAATAGCAGAAATGAGATGCCTCAAATTTGCCTCAAATTTGCCTCAAATCTGACTGCAATATGTTCCATTAAGATTTCCCTTACCTCTTATTGCGTATGCATACTTACAAATGATAAATCCAAATAAGATAAAGTCTGCGTTCATTGTATATCAGTTTCATAGTTCGTTTGAGTCTCGGGAAAAACGAATTATTTGTTGATCTAAAAGGCCATGTGTTTTCACAATACATATTCAGTACAACCTAGTTCACCATTATTTGAAACGTCAAAATTTGAATAATGCAATTATCATAAAACGAATCCTAAAACTGCATTACTTTTTTTATTTTTTTTCTTTTTATTTCTTTTTTTGATTGGATTATGATTATTCAAATTTTTTTTAAATAATATTAAATAATATGATAAAAAAATACATTTATATAAATGTCCTTTACAGATGATGAGACCACGAATTTAAGCATCTATTTTTTTTTTCTTCCAACACTTTCAAATACGTGTATCACGATTACCAATTCTATCTTGAACGATATTCTTGAACGATATTTATCGTAATAATTCGTAATAATTTTATTAAGCTTCACAAATTCATCATTTTTGCATATTCGTATAATTATTATTGTTATGAAAAAATATGGTTTCGAAATCAAAAATTTCAGAATTTTCCTCGGTATTCCGACCAAATGCACCGGACGATAAATCATTTCAGGCGGTTTTTCGTGCCAATAATTACTATTCGAAAAAAGATTACGAATCTGCTATAGGTTTGTTAAGCTTGTTAATTAATTCACCTGCCAAAACATATATAAAAACAAGTAATAAATTTGAATTCTTTTTAACATATTAGAAGAATATTCAAAAGCCTTATCAATATTACAATCTAGTCCAGAAACAAAAAAGACATCAGATTTTGCTGCACTCGTGTTTTCTAATAGGAGCGCAAGTTTTTTTCAACGCAAAAAATGGAAGCACGCAGTAAAAGATGCAGAACAGGTTATTCGAATAAGGCCTGAATGGCCAAAGGTATTGATACTAAAATTATTTAAAATTATTTAAAATTATTTAAAATTATTTAAAATTATTTAAAATTATTTAAAATTATCTAAAAAAAAAATAATAACTTGCAAATCATTAATAGTGAGTTTGCTCGATTATTTATTTGCTAATTGTATTTTTTTTTTTTTTTTTAGGGCTATTTTCGAAAGGCCGAAGCTCTTGTGCAATTAGAGAAATACGAAGAGGCGTTAGATTGTTATCACGTCGCACAACAGAAGGTAAGATTCACCATAATAAATAATAATAATATAACATAATAATAACATAAGTAACATAATAATAACATAAGTAACATAATAATAACATAATAATAACATAATAATATTGAAGTATTATTACTACGTAATTATTATTATTATTAATTTATTATATATTATTATATATATTTTTAGGATCCACGTAATACACAAATCCAACATCGAATAGAAAAAGCCTTAATTCTAAGAGATAATAAATCAATGGGTAAATTAGTCGCGCTTTTTTGTTATGTTTCATGTAATACTAAATTTATAAATTATTAAAATTATTAACATGAAACTATACTATATATATATAAAATAGGTTTAACAATACACACATTGGTGCCAGGTCAAGATATATGCATAGCAAAGAACTCAATAACGAACAAAATACGTTGTAAAATATTCGAATTTGCTGTGAAAATGAAAAATTTGATTTATGTCATTGTTGATAATAGTACAAAAGAGTGTATTGTCATTGACGCTGTAAGTATTAAAAAAAAACATTCATACACTAATATTTTATAATGTATAACAATTTCCTCTTTTTTTTTATTATACAGTGTTGGGACGTTGATGGTATCATAAAATTTATCAAAAATAAACGTTTGAAACTTGTTGGCGCCATTGTAACACACCACCACTTTGATCACGTTGGAGGTATTGTGCATATTACTAAATAGTCTCTATAAAAAATATTTCTTTATTTATTTACTTTCTTATTTATTAATAGGAAAACCACCTCCACCATTTAACCAACTCCCAATAAAAGTTTCGGGTTTATGCGACTTATTAAAACGTTTTCCAAAAATAAATGCTTACATACATCCGTCAGACATTCCACATGTACTTAAAACAAATCCTGAATTATCGGACCTATTCACTTCAATCCCTCTTTCAAATTTACCAATTAGAAATCGTCAATCGCATTTATGTAATACAAATATCTTATCATTCATAATAAATTCCACTCTTAATTCCTCAACATTATCTAACTCAAATGCATCAAGAATAATTCCAACTCCACACAACTTCATACTTTCATTGGGTAACTTTACACTCTTGAGATTTCTTCATACACCAGGACACACAGAAGGTAGTCAATCCATATTGGTTAATGAAACAAGGTTATTTACCGGCGACACTTTGATGTGTGGTTGTACCGGAAGGTTAGATCTACCTGGTGGTAATTTAAAACAAATGAAAAAAACTTTGAGAAAAAGGTTGGGTGATCTGGATGATAAGATCGTAGTGTTTCCCGGTCATGATTATGGTGGTGATTGGACTACTATTGGGATTGAGAAAAGAAAAGGTATTATTGGGAAGTCTAAAAGAAAATAATAGATTCGATAAAAGCGATAGAAATAGATAGTGTTATACTAAATGTTAAAGACTCTTTTTATATACATATATATAAGACATACATGAGATATAAAAATATTTACAAGTAATAGATTTTAAGTATAATTATACTATATAGTAAATTAGTAAAAACAATGTAAGATTTGCGCATTTTTACGAATTATAAAAATTAAGTATTGAAAAAAAATAAAAAAAAAACAATTGCTTATTTAGTTCATATAATTATTTCAAAAGCTATTTAACTATATATATACAGTATGTAAAATTCATAAAAATAAAGGTGGATATTAATAACCACCAGTGTAAATATTTAATTTTAAATATTATCCATTTTGTCAAATTCTATAATATTAAAACATTGGATTTTGTAATTTATCGCCATAAATTTTTTTTTTTTTTTGATTCTAATGCGGATACAAAATATTCACTTTTGGTACTCCTTATCGGTTAGTTTAGGTATGTTATGCATCAACAAGGTAGGTGCAAAAGTATCAAAAATGAATGTTTGCAAAACAGACCATCTACGAACACGTACCAGGAGCATCGTTTTTCAATTTCCTTTTTGGGAGACGTCTAAAGCCGTGTCCAGTTATATGCTTTTTGATTATTTGATAAAAGGCAGTATAAGGGTTAGTTTGGGATTAAGGTTAGGGTATACATGTTGGCAAAATTCCAAACTATTATAGTTTGGGTTTGGGCGCGCCCAAATCCCTAACTCTGGCCAAACTCATATCTTAAAAACTTTATTAATAATCTTTATTTAAACAAATCAAATATATATTTATAGCTATATATCTGAATTACTTTACAAAATTACTTTCTTATATTTATTATTTTATATATTTAATAGTAATATTATTAATAATATATAAAATGTCTTATATTAAAACGATATATTTTGCAATATAAACAAAATTTTTTTTCAACTTAGACAATTGTACCAGTATTTGTTATTTATTAACCATGTTTTTATAAATATATTTTTACTAAAGCTAAAGATCTGATAGTATACAGTTGTTTCTATAAGTATTTATATACAACTTATTGCATAATTAAAGCTAGTTTAAAACAAAAAAAACTAACTCTATTAATAAGCATATCTAATTACATTCTATAATAGAATACTATTAAACTGATAATATTTTCCTATAAGAAAGCAAAAGAAAAAAAAATAAAACACAAAGATATAAAAGAAAATAACAAAAATATCTTATATAAACAAAACAAAAAACAAAATATATTTATAACTTTCTTTAATAATCACTTGTACTAACTAGTTACCAAAAACAAGTTGAAGACTCAAAACCAAAAGCCAACATTAACTTAAAGTTTTCTTGATACAACCTGTTATCAATGAAGGTTTACTTATTAAGATTATCTCTTTTAAAGCACTTTTCTAAAATTTGAAGGTACAAATACCAAAAGTGGGGGTATGAATACCAGTACTTTATAAGTATTATCAAAGATAAAGCTAATTATAAAGGTTTAAAAGTATTACAAAAGATACAGAAAAAAAGTTCAATAGTAAAGAAGAAGTCAAGAGTCAATTCTTTAAAGAAATATAATAAAAAAGAATAGAAACAAGAAGATATTTGATAAGAAGCCTTATAACAAAACAAAGAAAAGAAAAATTAGTACAAAGATAAAAAATAAAACTTGAGACAAAAAGTGTTTGATGTGATCAAAAAGAAATTCAATGAAAGGTTCTAAATATATATTTAGAATTTTAGATATGAACTAGTAAATAATTAAGAGAAGAAAAATAAAATTACAAATGAAGCTAAAAGATCTAAAAAAGCAAAGCAGAAAGAAAGAATAGTATTAAAATTTAATAACAAAGAAAACTAAGTTATAGAAAAAGAAGAATAAAAAAGTCTATGAAGCATATTTTGAATTTAGCAAAAAAAATAATCAAAACCTAATTAAATATATACTGGACCAATATTAATAAGAGAAAATAATAATTTTTAACAAGATTAATAGCTTTTAGCTAATAATTAGAAAAACTAAATTCTTAGATAGTTAAGAATTTAATATAAAATAAATTAGCTACTTAGACAGGTTATATCTGAGCTTTAATACTGAGTAAGTCTTTATTAATACAGAAATATAGTATAAAAAATTTATATTTAATGCAAATATGAAGTTTTAATACTTCTGATTTAAATAATAAAAAAAGGATTGCAAAAAAAATAAAAATAAAAAAATAATAATTATAATTATTTATATAATATCTTATGATATCTAAAGCAATATTTTATTCTTAACAAATATCAAATAAAAACTTTTAAAGATATAATAAAAAAATCATATTTAATATCTATTAAATATGAAGAGATTTTATATTTTAAGATTAAATATATATACAGTACCAGACAGCAAAAAATATCAAATTTTTTTAAGGCCGCCAAATTTAAGATATGTAATACAAACCGTGATTGGTTAATTTTTAGAGGACGCCAAATTTAACTTATGAAATACAAGTTGTGATTGGTTAATTATAATGCGAATTAATTAATACATGATTGGTTAGGGCAATAGAAATTTGGATGATTTTATTATATATTACGGGGCACAAAGTTTCAATGTGTTGTAATCTATTTTTTCGGCAAACGAAAAATTTACATTATATTCAGGGCGTAACTAGAGATGCAAATCGGCTCATCAGCTCTATTGATTAATTGGTTTTTATTATACTGAATATACAAGCTGATCGAGCTGTTTTGCATCACTAGACGTAATCTACTATATTAATTTGCTGGCTATTTACTGTGCCACTGCTAATGTTTGAAGTATTTTTATGATTCATCGAAGTTAGCTAATATATTGTGCATCTTTATTGATTACTATTTAGCAAATTAAATTATAATAA